CCCCAAAACCCCAAAACCCCAAAACCCCGATTGGAGCCTTTACAGTTGCTTAGAAACCATTGGGTAGATGCAGTATTCATATTAAATTATTAAACTCTTCCTCACTTCTCTTGGTTTTATGGAATTTAACAGATGATACAGCGATGCTTCTAGGGTGCCGCAATTAACATCTAGAAGTCTCATGATTTTACTAATTCAGAGTTATAGGTATACTTTCGTTACATAAAGGTGCATGGCTTATGTCCTAACTGAAAGTTTTGGATCTCATTTCTCTCAAAGTCCTGGTACGTCTTGCGAGCGCGGAAAGTATATCTTGCTTCTGAGGTAAAGTCTTTGTCATTTTTTTGGCTATATCCAAAAATCACCACATTGTGTATAACATTAAAATAGAAATGTATGTTTAATAAACTATTAGCTCTAAATTAAAAGGAAGCATTACCTTGTCTCTTGACTGACTCCCAAGTTAAAAGAACTTTCTGAAGTGCTAAAGAAGAGTGAAACCCTCTGAGATCTCTTCCAACTGCATTATAGACTTTCTTGAGTACAGCAATGTACCTTTCCTTTGGATCTTTGAAGGTCTCGCAATCTGGAATTCAGAAGATTCTAAGGTTATGTGTCGGAGGAGGGCTCTTTGCTACCACTCTAGAGGTGACTCTCAAACTCTTCTTGGCTCTTTGAGTACTTTTATTTTTCCTTTTTATAGTCCTTGATTTTGAACTAAGTAATTAGCATTTGGATTAATGACAAAAGACTACTTAAAATTAAAAGCCAAGGCTGAAATACAATTTACAAAGACTCCTGATTCCTTATGATTCTGAACATTTTCTTCCTCTTCATGAAGAAAATCTGTTTCCTTGAGCTTGGGGTCCTAAGTTTCTTATTTCTCTTCATCCTGAAAAGCTTCTCTGCCAAATTTCGTTTTCTCTAAACATGCGATAAGAGTGGGTAAAATTCAAGAAATTTTAGCTTAAAGTTTACAAAGGCAATGTGGATGCAAATTCTAAAGAAAGATATGAGAACCCTTTCAAAATCTGTGTAAATATTTTCTTAGATCCAAGCAAAGCTTTTAGGTAATTTTTCATCCTGACTTATAGATGAGGGAACCTGTGGGTAAATCATGTGCCTTGATGGCTGGAATTTTGAGTTGAATCATAGTTTCCTATTCCAAAGCTGATTACTTGCCAAGCAAATTAAGAGAACTAACCAAAAAAGCGTTCAAGGAGGAACTGTTTATTAGGTTGTAGAGTCATGTTTTTATAAGGATAATATTCTTCAAGTCAAGCTTACATTCATATAGGTTGGTATAGGTTCAAGGGTGTGCTTCATTCTAAGAGATTCCATTTTCAATTATAGATATTGCTCTCGGGGTTTTGGGGTTTTGGGGTTTTGGGGTTTTGGGG